TCCTCCCCCACCGGGTATCGTAGCCAAATGAGAACCTAGATTGTCTGCTAAAATGTAGCGGCGCTTTGTTGCACATAATTCGCGTAGCGGCTACCCCTAGGGCCACTACATTATTAGCTGTAAAACGCGGCTGTAACACAACCCATGACGATATCACTGCAGTGTGTTTCGCGTTGCTTCCCCCCCCCTTCCCGGGTATCGTAGCCAGTCTAGATTGTTTGCTAAAATGTAGCGGCGCTTTGTTGTGTTATTATTAGCTGTAAAACGCGGCTGTAATACAACAACCCATGACGATATCACTGCAGTGTGTTCCGCGTAGTAAGTATACCAGGTGCTACAACCCATCTATGATTATATTATTATATATTAATAATTAATTATATGAATTAATATCTATTAATTTATATATTATATGAACGAGTCACGTTGCTTACGTATATAGTTATTACTCCGTCTCGCATCACTTTCATCGTGTCCCTAATTCGGTCCTTGACGTACACGAATCCTTCCTCATCGTACCGCACGATGTCGCCACTGTGCAGCCAGCCGTCCGAATCCATGCAGTTGGCGGTGCTTACCGGGTCGTTGACGTAGCCTAGCATAATACTCGGCGAGCGTATCAGAAGCTCTCCCGAGCCACCGGCCGGCACCTCCACACCCGTCTCTACATCAATCACCTGCCGAAAATCGTCAACAAACGAAATATACCTGAACAAGAGTCCCCGGACCAAGCGCTGCAGGGCCGTGGTTCTTTTTACTCGGGTAGCCGGTAGACGGTGCTTCGGCGAGAAATAAGAGCAACGTCGCCATGTTGCAAAGACTGGCTATAGCGATGAGTGGTTAGTTTCGACGTGTATAGTTGAAAGTTAGAGATCTTATCAGGTTCTTCTAACTTTGTTTTTCGTTGGCGAATCAGGCAACAGACCAATTAGTTCGATTTGCCCTCATGTACCGAGAATTAGTTTATAGACCGATATGGCGATATGCCCTCGCAGCGAGAATGTTTACAAACCCGCATGCGAAGAATGTTTACTGAAGCGACGATCGATAAACCTACGTGCGAAGTGTCGAGATGACATAGCACACGCACGAGGTGTGATGAAGAGGTGCACGTGTCCTTGAAGAGTTAGTTACCTTACACTCGACATTCGAGAGTGGCTGGCCGACCGTACCTATCTTTGTGTGGTCACTCGGTTCCGCTACAACTAGCCCACTCTCGCTCATTCCAAATCCTAGACCATGATAAACAACAGTTGCGTTAATATTTTGATTATATAGGTACTCTCTGTAATATTTTCTCTATATTTTCTATTTTCTCTATATCACTCTCTGTAATATTAAATACTCTCTTAATATTTTAATTCTATTCTCTTCTGACGCCACCAAACGCTGAACTACACGCTGGCATTCGAAAAGTGTGGACAAAGAAAAGAAACGGAGAGAGAGAAATGGGGCAAAGGAAATAAAGGTGGGAGAAAGAAAGGGGAGGAAGGGAAAGTGAGGTGGGAGAAAGGGAGAAGAGGGCAGGAAGAGAGAGAGAGTGAGAACGGAAGAGAGAGAGAGAGAGAGAGAGAGAGGAGAGAGAGGCGAAGCGAGGAGAAGCGCGAGAGAGAGAGAGAGAGAGAGAGACCGAGAGTCGCGCGCGGCGGGAGAGAGAGAGAGAGAGAGAGAGAGAGAGAGAGAGAGAGAGCAGCGAGCGGCGGAGAGAGAGAGAGAGCGCGCGCGCGCGAGAGAGAGAAGAGAGAGGCGCAACGCGCAGCGGAAGAGAGAGAGAGAGCGAGAGCGAGAAAAGCGAGACGCGAGAGCGAGAGAGAGAGCGAGAGCGAGCGCGAGTAAGCGAGAGCGAGAGAGAGAGAGAGAGAGAGAGAGAGAGAGAGGAGAGAGAGAGAGAGAGAGAGAGAGAGAGAAGAGAGAGCGAGCGAGCGAGCGAGAGAGAAGAGAGAGAGAGAGCGGAGAGAGAGAGGAGAGAGAGAGAGAGAGAGAGAGGCGAGGCGCGAGCGAAGCGAGAAGAGAGAGAGAGAGAGAGAGAGAGAGAGGAGAGAGAGGAGAGAGAGAGAGAGAAGAGAGAGAG